TTTACCGAAGAAAACCTGCTCCCGACCAGGTTAGGTTCACAGAGTAAGTTACTATGGTAACTTACCGAGAGGTTAAGTTTTGTCTTTTATTGGAACCGAAAACACCGAGTTTCCCTTTTCAGGGGTTAACAAACTCTTAAGTTTCCAACAAAACCCACTTTCTGGAATACACCCCAGGGGTATTCCAAAAAGCAGGTTATGTGACATACCCGGGTATGGTTGTGCAATCATTTTTATTTTTTTCCGTTTAATCTTTAATCCTTGAGAATATTAATTATATTGTTTGTTTGATGCTAATTATATATTAAGTCATATCAGATATGTATTTTGATTTAGAATTTAGACATTATAGAAAATGCCCATCCATGTGTGAGATGATAATATAAAAGGTAATTTTATATTACCCCCAAATATTTCCTTGCATAAATACGATAAAGGGGAGAATTACCTTTCAAGTGTGCTATATTTACACGCACGTTAACATTGCCTGGATGCACCCAGCTAATCTAAAATTACACAACCAACAAATCATCATTACATTATATGATTTGTTATACACTGAATCCCACAAACGCACCCATTCTAAATGAATAATCCCTCTCATCTCAACACAACTTCGCTTACCAGAGGAGGGAAGATATGAGCATCACACCAATTCACACCAGTTCTCGCAATCGCAAGTTTGTATCGCCAAATTCAGCCATTATAACTCACAATTCAGAATTGTGAGGTATAAACTCGGAATTGCAAGAAAAATTGTCCGAATTGTGAGATGTAAACTGGATATTACATTTTTTTATACTCTTTAATTCCGTGGCTTCCATAGACTGCTACTGCAGAACTGTCATTTTCTGCTACTTCTTCGCTGTTTGCAAACATCCAAATGGTCTATTGGTCTTAAAGTACATTGTATTACCACATTAAAATGTCCAAAAAACATGGTAATACTTGCATTTTTAGTACTTTTCTTGAAAACTAGTCAATAAAAGTGTGCCATCTGTTGGTCACCTGAGGTACTAAATTAAATTCACCACCTTCAGTTCTTTATGTATTCAGATTTGGTCCCCCTGAGTGAACAACTGAATCTTCCTCCACAGATTATTAAACCCAGCTACCCAGAAACGGTTACAAATAAGCAAAGGTTAAAGGCCATCTGATTGGAGAAGGCAGCTGCTCCCAGTGCTGACGCTTGTGCAAATGCGTGAGCGCCGCCCCACCCCCAGACCCTCCGCATGCCCTCTCGCCTCTCCCTGGGGGTATATATAGCCTGAGAGGGGTCCTGGACAGTCCTGGCAGTCAAAATGAGGCTTTACCTCCCCGTCTGCTGCCTGCTGCCTCTACTGGCACTCGCCACTGCAGGTAAGAAAACTGGATTCAAACGCAGGTGGACTGCTGAACTAAGACCTGCAGGTGACTTCTGCATGTACGCAGCTGAAGTGTGAAGTTAAAGGTTTTAGTAACAGTGATTGGGTATTCGCCTGGGAGTATTAGGCCTCAAGATAAGTGTCTGAAGTCCTAGATCAGATTGCTTATCTTTGGTGGAGATGAGCGTCCCTGCATCTGCCTGCTTGTATTCATAGTTTGTGTATGGAGAAGTGTTTTACAGAATGTGTAGTAAAATGTGGGGTTTCTAGTCTTAATGTTTTTATGAACTTGAATATGTAAGTTAGTCAAATTGTTCTTTGATTCCTTCACTAAGAATCATTAAGCGCACTCAAGTACAGCATGTTCAGTACAACTGAATTTGAGTTTCTGGATTGCATGTACTGTATGTGTAGTGCCGGCGAAAGTGTTTCTGGGAGTCATTCTCGCTGATTTCAGGGCTTGTGTAGACACATAATGCCTTGAAAAAACTGAACGACCTCCTTTCTTATTACTCCGTTGAATTATGTAACTTCTGATAGGTATGAAAATGTCTTATAGAACAGGGGAGATCTCATCTGCTGTGCTCAGTTTATACCAGGATTATTATAACTAAAACCATTCGGGGGGAAAAAAATTGTTAGTTGAAATAATATGAACGTTAACTGAAATAAAATAAATTATATATATAAGATCTTTTCATTTTAGCTACATAACAAAGCTTAACTTGGTGTATTAAAAAAACTAAAACTGGGATAAAAATGAATAAAAACTAGGCTATATATTAAAACAAAATTACAAAACTAATTAAAATGACAAATAACAAACAATTACTAAAAGTTCAATTAAATAAAAACAGTAAAAATAAAAACATTCAAAAACTATAATAAATCTCAAATAATTCTAAAATATTAAATCATACATCTTAATCATTAACACACACTTTTATAGGTCAATGACTGATTAGAGTGTCCACGATAAAGAAAAGAAAAAAATATTGAAAATTCTACTTTAAAATGCATACTGATTTCTTGAAATATACTTTTTATATTCATGTCGGTCATATAGCTTTAAAAAAATGTTGATGTACTTTTAAAAGACCAATTTTACAATTACCATTAATTATTAATTGTTTAGGGAGTTGCACCGCTTGACCTGAACTAACCTTGCCTTGTCATAATTGTTTAAAGACATTTAGACTTTGACACTTTTCTATTTTTTTCTAAATATTTTTTCTGCATGTTGGTTGCACCACATGACTTTATCAGTAACAACACATAACTTTGAATTGGAAGACAAATGTTTCTCAAATATTGATAAGTGCAGACATTTTGTTAAAATACATATCTTTTTAGAAGGTAAATAGTAAAACATTTCAAAATACTTAATACACTTTCTCTACAGCACTTTGATTCTTTAATTATATCACCCTGACAAATAGTGAAATTAATTTTAAGTTAGAAATATAAAAACTTGCTCATCATAGAAGAGGTGTATTAAAGTTATTGAATGTATGAATTGCATTTCAATTGTATTTTTTTTAAATAATAATTAATACACATAAAAATATATATATTTTTGCCGCATTCCTGTGATCTTGTATGTATCAGAATTTATTGCCACAAAGAAAACTAGTTATTATTCTTACAAATTTGAATACTAATTCTTATATCTTTTTCTTTCAAATTCCTATTCACCGAATTGATGATAGCTGGAATCCTTTGGTCAAAATTGCAATCAACTGTAAGGGAAACTGTTGGTGGCTTTCTTGTCTCTCAGTAGTCAAAGAAAACTGGTTACTCTTGGTGAAATAATTAGAGACTGCCGCTTCCTCCTGCTTGGTTTTTAGTATTATCCTTGTCTGTCCTTGCATTGTTCCTGTTCTCTTTCTGCGGCTGTGCTGTCAGGTGTTCAGAGTGCACCATGAAATCAGACACTGTTCGTCGAGCAGTTGCATGGTCATGCTTCACAGCTCCGCTAACACGCCCCCTTGTACTTTCTATCCACATATACGCTTACAGTCCACAGCTGCTGTCACAACGCTGTATACTGTCTCAATCACTATTTATTTCTGTCTTGCAGACCTTGTAGGGGCAACCATTATGTTAACAGAAGGACTTAAAGCCTCTGTCCTGCCTTGCTACTGTATGTGGCCTGTTTTTGCACTGAGGCTTCCCTGTTACAGCCCAGTCACACCAGCCAATCGTACGCAGACATTACTCACAAGCCAGAGTAAACCGTGTTGCTATACAAACAAATAAAACGTACACAACACTTACATCAGCAAGTTGTACAGTACGTACATGCATTAGGTATATTAAAACACATATCCATGCATAAACAAATACATGAAACCAAATCAACGCACTCTCAAAAAATTTGTACATATTTTACATTTTGGTAAATTTGTTGCAAATTTGTTAGTTTAGGGGTGGACTTTCAAGCTTAATTTTTTATTTTCTAAAAAACATATATTTACTTAAATCATATCGTACAAATTTATACTAAATCGTCACCTAGTACAATAGTTATGGTTTCTCATGAGATTGGGTTGAACCAAATAGACTAATTGGAATACAAATGGTCAATAAGCAAATCTGTAAGCACTATTGAAATATAAGAAAAATAGATACAATGCTGAGATCATTTCAATAATGTAAAACAAACAAACAAAAAGGGCAATATATATTTCATGATTTATAAGTGATTCACTAAAAAGAACCGGCTCATAAGAGTCATTCACTCGAGCATCAGACTTCACTGGTCAAATGATGAATCGATTAACTAAAAAGAACCGGCTTGTAAGAGTCATTCACTCGAGCATCAGACTTCACTAGTCAAATGCTGCAGTAAAAGATTATGAGATGCATTATTTGAATGCTTGGCCAAAGAGATGTGTCTTTAATCTAGATTTAAACAGGGAGAGTGTGTCTGAACCCCGAACGTTATCAGGAAGGCTATTCCAGAGTTTGGGAGCCAAATGCGAAAAAGCTCTACCTCCTTTAGTGGACTTTGCTATCCTAGGTACTACCAAAAGTCCAGAGTTTTGCGACCTTAGGGAGCGTGATGGATTGTAGCGTGGTAGAAGACTAGTTAGGTACGCAGGAGCTAACCCATTAAGGGCCTTATAGGCAAGTAATAATATTTGTAAGAGTCATTCACTCGAGCATCAGACTTCACTAGTCACTCGAGCTTCAGACTTCACTGGTCAATCACTAAAAAGAACCGGCTCGTAAGAGTCATTCACTCGAGCTTCAGACTTCACTGGTCAATCACTAAAAAGAACCGGCTCGAAGGAGACATTCACTCGAGAATCAGACTTCACTGGTCAATCGCTAAAAAGAACTGGCTCTTAAGAGTCATTCGGTGCATTCCAAACGGGATATATCACCCTCCAAAGGGCACTTCGTAGTGAAAACAATCATGGCCGCCATATTGAAGGGCCATTCCAAACCGAAGTGCTCAAAACTGGCCACTTCAAAGGGCCCTTCGGAATCAAGGATTTCGAAGGGTACAACTGATGGACACTTCGGGCTCCCATGATCCTTTGCGCATATTCTTTGCATGATGACGGCGCCTCCGTGTGGGCACGTCATGACGACGCAGAAGGACACTTCAAGGAACAGTTGTTTGGTCCCCTACACCCTTTAACCCTTCGAAGCTCTCACTCAGGAGGGTAAACCCTTTGAAGGGATTAGGGCATAGGGATGAGCCCTTTCGAATAGAACGCAAGGATTCACTCGAGCATCAGACTTCACTGGTCAAATTATGATTCGATTCACTAAAAAGAACCGGCTCGTAAGAGCCATTCACTGGAGCATCAGACTTCACTGGTCAAATGATGAATCGATTCACTAAAAAGAACCGGCTTGTAAGAGTAATTCACTCGCCTTTGGGGGCATAGAAGGTTCATTTTTTGTTTGAGAATCAGACTTCACTGGTCAAGCATTGTATGTTTTTGCAGGGAACATGTTCACAGTATTTTGGTGTTTTATCCGCATTGGAAACATAACGAAAATGAATGTCATGAAAATCATTCTGTCGTGTTCTTTTGTGAATCTTTAGTTAAATTTTGCTTAGTGACCACAGTTATCTTTGATAAATCACTTCTCTACACAACCACATAAGATAGTGGTTTGACAGTCAGTGCTATCAGAAATAAACTGAAGAGAAATGTGATTTTAGTCTATAAAAGCAGAGAAACTCTTCTCAGCATAGGCTATTTGTGTCATGAAGACCTAGGACTTGGGATCGAGCACCTGTCCGTTTCTGTCCTCACCTCAGAACATGCTGTCGAAGGGGGAAGGGGCTGGTCTACGTCACTTAGACCTTACTGGAAAAATGCAGATGATCTTTTATTATCAAATATGGATGGTTGGTTTCATTTTGGGGTAATTTACCAGTACTGGTGGTATTACTTCAACAAGAGACACCTGAGACACTGGAATAATAATACACTCAAACATTCCTTCTCCACTGTGACCAAAAGCTCCCCAGCCATTGTCTACAAAACAATACCTGTGTGGATATAGGGATGGTCCTTGGAGAACGTAGCATTGCTGCTCTTCTTACCACTAGAGCAGGCTCTAATTTAATTAAATCAACATGGTAGAATATGATATGGAACAGAATGAGCTGTTCAACTTATTATAAAATAGTACAACACTCAAGTTCTGTAGCACATCATAACCAGCCTTTCTATTTCAGTGACATTTAAAAAAAGAAGTTGCAAGGTCAAATAAATCCAAGTTCCCCTCATCTGTATCTTCATAAAAGTAATTATTTTACATCATATTAGTGTTGTAACAATTATGTAACCATAATCCTGGACTAGTAAAGACAGCAAGCTAGCAATAAAGAGTAACTCATACCACAGTAACATGGCCTTAGGCCTTCAAAATGACTCATGGTTACGTTGATGACAGTCTTGCACTATGACTTTGGCCTAAATACAGCTCTCCTGAGGGTGTGAGCATGTGTATAAGTGTGCAAAACATATCACATTTACATTGACTAGAGCCAATTCAATTAATTAGAGACTTCTAAGGAACACATAAGCTTGTCAGAGAGCATTTTTACAAGTAGTCAAATGCCAAAGGTGGAAGAGGTTTATCTGAACTAACTATAGACACTGGTGCCCTCTGCTGTCAGTATGTTGTTGAACTGTTGCGTAAATGTATGGCTAAATCAATTTAGGGTTTGTCATTTGATAGTAATTTAGCATTAAGTCAAAAAAAGTGCTTTTGAATGTGCATTTTTTACATTTTAATATGGATTACATTTTGTAGGCCACTGAAATGGCTGTGTACAGAAAACACTTCAATCTGCAAAAATGTTACTGGCAAACGAATTAATGCACCATTATTTGCTTGAAAGCGGAGCTGCACTTTTCAATGGAAGCATTTGACATTAAAACTAGAGGTTGAAATCCAGTACAAAGACGCCATGCTAACACCTTTTATCAGAGCCGCCTGCCTTCGCGCCGGAGGACAGTATGAAAAATAAACCTTGCTCTGATGATCCACATGAACAGAAAGGACTTGGCATTCTCTTCTCCTGCCAGCTCTGCTCCCTATTTCAGGATGTGATTCACATGAAAAGCATTTAGCTCTCATCGAGAGCATTCATCGCCGCATGAATCACAGAGATGGGTCATCGCCACAGACTCACACATTTGTGCCAACAGCAGCTCTACCACCAGTCACATTGTTCAAATCCAGCTATTACAGCTACACCATTTTAAATTAGGGTCTGTACATGATTGAGGATAGTAACCATGGTTTTATTTCATTTACTTGAGTAATGTTGTAGATCAGGAGTGCCCAGTCCTGTTCCTGGAGATCTACATTCCTGCAAAGTTCAGCTCTAACACTAATCAAACACATATGAACTAGCTAATTAAGACCTTCATAAACACTTGATAATTACAAACTGGTGTGTTGGAGCAGGGTTTTCACCAAACTCTACAAGAAGGCAGAGCTCCAGGAACAGGAATGAACACTCCTGCTGTAGATGATACTGTCTCCAACACAGAATCCTGTATGCTAATGTTATATACCTGCAGTGTGTGAGATGCTTTTCTTCAGGGATGTTATGTGGAAGCATAGACTAAAAGAAAATGGACAAAGCATCGCTACTTCCTTCCACTATAGAAAAGTGAAGCCAAAACCTCTCAGTATATGGCCGCTGTCATCTTGCAAAAATGACGTCACTTGGAGCCCGAGTCTGCACTGTAGTTTTTAATTTGAAGTCCAAGTTTGCACAGTAGCGATTCATTTTTGGAGTCAGAGTCTGTGCAGTAGCAAATGATTTGGATCCTAAGTCTTGTCTGCATAGTATAATTCATTTGTAGGGTGAACATACGGGCCATTTTTACGGGACATATCCTTGTCAGGATTTCTATATTGCCTAAAATATCCAGGGTTTGGCTGTTTGCGCTGTGCAGATCGATCGTTGTATGACATCCGCGACAGCTCACCATCAGATCGATCGGTGTGTGACATCAAAGTACCGCAAGAGCTAGAGAGCAGACGGCTCCTTATGCTTTCGAATCGCGCTCACTGTACTTGGTCTATGCAGCGCCGCTTCAAGTCGAACGAACGAACGAACATAACATGTGTGCGTATTTGCATCACTTTGACCATTCTCTGTAGATCCCGCCTTCTCACACACCACGATTGGTCAAATGTGTACAATGCCTGCACGCTATTGGTCGATCATTACCCTAAGCAAGTATAACAACAGGAAAACGGAGCCAAATACAGAAATCCTGGCCAGGATGTGTCCCGTAAAAATGGCACGTATGGCCACCTTATTCATTTGGAGCCTGAGTCTGCGCAGTAGAGATTCATTTGGAGTCCGAGTCTGTGCAGTGATCGTGAGGTGGTGTCGTTTTATCAAAGTCCCACCCAAACACCTGCAGACCCAATCACAAGCTCACAATCATGGCGCCACACCCCGTTTTTATAGCATCAAATAAAAAACTAAAAGCAAACTTATTAGAAAACTTGCTTGAACATACATCAGCGTGATAAGAACTACCTAAAATAGGGGTGCCCAAACTCGTCCTGGAGGGCCGATGTCCTGCAGAGTTTAGATCCAACCCCAATTAGGCTCACCTGAACCAGCTAATCAAGCTCTTACTAGGCATACTATAAACTTCCCGGCAGGTGTGTTGAGGCAAGTTGGAGCTAAACTCTGCAAGACACCAGCCCTCCAGGACAGAGTTTGGGCACCCCTGACCTAAAATGATGGAAACCATCTTTGGGAAAAATTTATTTATAGTGTAATTTGGCTCATATCCCATTTGTTTACTTGGAGAGGGCGGGGTTTATGACCTATACTTCAGACAGCCACTAGGTGGCGATCAAAATGTTTTGGCTTCACTTTTCAGGACGTGTGTGGTACACTTGTACTGAAATTTCGGCAAAAACAAAAACATTTGACCAAAAACCTGCGTCAGCATCCATTTTGTGCATACGACATGCATAAGCTACAGTACAATAGGCGCACATGTAAGCAGTGTGGATGCTAGAGTAGCAACATATAAAATTGGTTTGGCTGAAATATTGAGAGGCAGCTCGTTGCAGAAGAACTTTACTACAAAGTTTAACAACACCCTAAACAGAGTACCAAATTCAACTATTTAAACACTATTTTTAGGTTTTGGTTTTCGGTTTCCATGGTGTTTTGGTAAAAAATTAATCGAACTTGTGCATAATTACTTTATTATGTTGTAATATCAAATATGATTCATTCTTCATTCTGTGTGAATGTGCTGAGTTATATCCCATGACATTTAGGGTAATATTATTGTTTTTCTTCCAAAGATGCAGTGGAGTCTGAGACTGAGCCACTTGTGCCGTTCCAGCTTAAGTCTGAAGGCGAGCTGTTTAACTGCTGTGATGGTACAGAGGATATAAGCCAGAGCTCCTCCAATGACACTCCTGCACCAAACAGACCTGTGTGCCAACCCTGTGGCACTGGTGCACATATTGACACCACGGCAGAAGATGTCAGCTCTGAGGATGAAGAGGAAGAGGTTGTTTCAGAAGAGAAATCTGAAGAGTTGAATCAAGAGGAGACCTCTTCTGAAGAGATATTTGAGGAGGAGGCACAGGAAGAAGAGGCAGAAGCTGAGTTAGATGAATCTAATGAAGCGGCGGTGGAGGAAGTTATTGAGGAGGCACGTGAAGACGTGAAGGAGGAGGAGACCTCAGAGGTAGACAGTGATGTAGAGTCACAAATAGTTGTTGAGGAATCTGTGGAAGAAGACGACGAGGAAGATTCTCAGACTGATGAGGAGGTAGTTGAGGAAGAGGAGGTTCTTCAGACTGAAGATGAAGCAGGTGAAGAAGAGGAACTTGCTCAGACTGAAGAGGAGGTAGTTGAGGAAGAGGAGGTCCTTCAGACTGAAGATGAAGCAGATGAAGAAGAGGAACTTGCTCAGACTGAAGAGGAGGTAGTTGAGGAAGAGGAGTTTCTTCAGACTGAAGATGAAACAGGTGAAGAAGAGGAACTTGCTCAGACTGAAGAGGAGGTAGTTGAGGCAGAGGCGGTTTCTCAGCCTGAAGAGCCAGTGGAAGAGAAATCAGAAGAGGTAACGGAGGAAGAAGCTGAAGAAGAGGAAGCTGTAACAGAGGAAGAAGGAGCTCCTGAGGTTGTGGAAGAACAGAAATCTGTAGAAGAACCAGAAGCCTTTGAAGAAATGGTGGAAGCAGAAGCAGCTGAGGAACTAGTTGCAGATATTGTTGAGGAGGTTGTTGAAGTAGCACAAGAGGCAACTAAGGAGCTTGTGGAACCAACTCCTGAACAGGTTCAAGAAGATGTTTCTGCACTTGTTGAAGAAACAACAGTGGAAGAAGTGTCAGTTGATGCACCAGCAACCAATGCATCTGCGAAAGGTACAATATGATTCAGTCAGCATAAATGACATTGGACATTTAAAAACAAGATAACTGTCGAATTAGAATCATTCAGTACGTTTGCAAAGATATTTTAGAAAATCGCAAGTTCTAGATTTTGCACAATTAATTTCGCACACCTAAACAATGGTAAATGTGATGGCACCTCTACCGTTGTTCTGCGAAATTTCATGCGTGATATCCAGTCACTTAAATACGAATCCATGCAATCAGGAATTAAGTAGGAGGGCAGATTTTCCTCATGTTCAATTCGGTCACGTAAATTTGCCATTCGCCAGCAGAATGTAAGCTACTTGGTTTAAAAGTGACTTCTGTCTGAGAAAAAAAAATTGCTAATGTGACTGCACCTTTATACTAATGTAAAGTCTAATATATTTAAAAGCTTCAGAATCATCTTAAAGCCTCTGGTTAAAACTCCATTACAGTGGAAATAACCAGAGGGAAGGAACTATTTTGTTGTCTCGCGGCCAGGGGGCAGAAGAGGACACTACTGTAAAAGTCAGTTCCTCATGCTTCTCCACCTGATAACTTTGGTCGAAGGTGGCACAGGAATAAACCCACCACCAAAATAACCTAACAGAAATAACCCTTGGCACAAGTCCATTGCCATTCATAACAATATGTTCTCTGGCCTGCATGGAGGACAGTTTTGTAATAGGGAAGAAATGTTTCAGATGCTTTTAATAGTACATTTATTGTGTTTAACTGGCTCCAAATAGATGTCTGATGTAGATGACTGATTGCAGTAGATGGACCCAACATGACAGTTTGTGTTTTGGAGGCAGATTATTTTTGTAAACTAAGACAAACACTGTTGATAAAAAATTTGTTAGCTTAAAATAATAAATAGAAATAAATAATGGAAAAAATGAAAACCAAACTAAAACAGCAATAAGATCAATTTGAAACTGCTAAATGATTAAAAGCTTGTTTTGTGGGTCTACAAGAAAATGTTATTATATGAGCTTCATGTTTTATGCTGATTTTGACTGGCTGTTTTTCTCTGGCAGTGGAGAAAACAACCCCGTCAGGTCCTACCACAAGAGATCAGTCTCACATCGAAGAGACGCTGCGTCTGGCAACAGCTGAACCTTCACGGGAATTTGTCGGTGTGTCATGTAATGAAAATAAAAAAATATATATAAAAGTACCTTTCAGGGCTATACAGTGTGTACCATATTAGGCCAGTTATTTTTTTTTTAGCTTCACCAACATCTCCAAATTGTAGCAGAATGAGTCAGTTTCTATTATAATTTCATCAACTCTACCTCTCGTAGATGCTCTGAAGAAGCTGCAGCATGTCTACAACACTGCAATTAAACCCATGGACAAGGCCTACAAATACAATGATCTCCGGCAGCATGAAGTGTCAGGTAAAGTCTTTGGATTTTGGGTTCAGTTTTACAACATCACTCCAGACTACTGCTCTTCTACCATGAAAAGGATCTAAATGAACCCCTATCCTCAGTTGAACTCTATCTTTTCTTCACATTATTCAGATGCAGAGATCACCTCTAAGCCCATGGTCCTGTTCCTGGGCCCTTGGAGCGTTGGCAAGTCTTCCATGATCAATTATCTTCTAGGTCTCGATGACACTTCACAACAGCTTTACACTGGTAACCCATCAATCTTCAAATTAATAAATACTACAATCTTTAAATGTAGTCCTCCTTTGTTCCTTCATCTCGCTCTCGTTTGCTTTCTCAGGGGCTGAGCCCACAACCTCAGAATACACTGTACTGATGCACGGTGAGAAGTTTCGCACCATTGAGGGTATTGTCATGGCGGCAGACAGTTCCCGCTCTTTCTCACCCCTGGAGAAGTTTGGTCAGGGGTTTCTGGAAAAGCTGGTGGGAATCGAGATGCCGCACAAACTCCTGGAGCGCGTCAACTTTGTCGACACACCTGGAATCATCGAGAACCGCAAACAACAAGAGAGAGGTGAGAATACAGTATTCACAAAGACTTTGTTTGAGTTTGGTATGTGCAAGAGGACAATCAGACAACATGCAGCTCTGAACATGAATTGAATATAGATACACAATCTAGGTTATCAGACCATTTCTGACGCTCCACACTTCCAATAATGATTCTTTTATGACATTTAAGGAATAAATACTTGGAAAAGGAAATGAAATATCATGAACAAATTTTAGACTTTAACACGTTAATTCATTATTGATTAATTTAACTCTTTATTTACTATCAACTAGTTGCTTATTAACATGCATATTGGCTGTTTTATCTACAGTACATCCCTAATCCTACCCGATACCTAAACTTCACAACTACCTTACTAACTATTAATAAGCAGTAGGAATTTAAGGCAAAAGTTGTAGTTAATAGTTAATTGTGAGAATTGGACCTTAAAATAAAATGTGACCCAAATTTTGAATAAAAATGCATTCATAACAATTCTTGCAAAAAGTGTGTGTACACAGGCATTTGCATGACTTTTCAGAGTTTAAATACAATCCAATAATTGGCTATATTTCTATTGAACAGCAATACTAAACAAAGCAATTTGGAAATATACACTACCCTTGAAAAGTTCAGCATTCAGCAAGGATGCATCAAATTGATCAAAAGTGAAAGACGCTGATAATGTTACAGAAGATTTCTATTTCAAACAAATGCTTTCCTTTTGAACTTCCTATTAGAGAATTCTGAAAAATGCATCACAGTTTACAAAAATATTAAGCAGCACAACTGCTTTCAATACTGATAATAATAAAAAGTGTATCTTAAGCAGCAGTTCATCATATTTGAATGATTTCTGAAAGATTATGCGACACTGAAGCCTGGAGTAATGATGCTGAAAATGTAACTTCACCTTCAAAGGATTAAATACATTTTAAAATATTTGTATTCATTTATTAATATATTATATATTATAAATATTTCAGCACCACTGAATAAGTAGTTTTTTTAGTATTTAGTACAGTATTCTCCAAGCATTGGCAGAAGAAACCAGAAGGCACCAGTTCTGAATAAAAAAATCAGTTTCAACTCTAAAAGATACTAACATGAGTAATAATACTTAGTATAACTAAGTGTACATTTACAAATTTGAAACTCTCTTGTTGTCCTTTAGGGTACCCCTACAGCGAAGTGTGCCAGTGGTTTATCGACCGTGCCGATCTCATCTTCCTGGTGTTTGACCCAACCAAACTGGATGTCGGTTTAGAACTTGAAATGCTGTTCAGACAGATGAAGGGACGCGAGTCACAGATCCGTATCATCCTCAACAAGGCTGACAGTCTAACAACCCAGGACCTAATGCGCGTGTATGGCGCCCTCTTCTGGAGCATGGCACCCTTGATTAACGTGACAGAACCACCACGTGTCTACGTGAGCTCATTTTGGCCGCAGGATTACGCTCCTGACACCAACAGAGATCTTTTTAAACGTGAGGAGATCTCTCTGCTGGAGGACCTAAATCAGGTAATCGAGAACCGGCTGGAAAACAAAATCGCCTTCATTCGGCAGCACGGCATCCGCGTGCGCATCCACGCCCTCCTGGTCGACCGCTACCTGCAGACGTATTATGAGAAGCTGGGCTGGTTTAGTGACCCACATGAGGTTTTCGATGATATTGTCAGTGACCCTGACAAATTCTACATTTTCAAGTCCATTCTGGCCAAGACCAATGTGAGTAAGTTCGACTTGCCAGAACCGGAGGCGTACCGGGACTTCTTTGGAGTCAATCCTCCCAGTGGCTTTAAGCTCCTCTCCTCATACTGCAGCTGGTCAGGCGGATGCCAGCTGGAGAAGATCGAGAAGGCCATCACAGATGACCTGCCGGCTTTGCTCAGCAGTCTGGCAGAGAAACGGGAAGCCAAGGCAGAAGCGGCTGCAGAAACCAAGGAGAAACCCCCAAACCGTTGGAGGAGACAGTAACACAAGAATGGTGGGAGATGTGGGAAGTATGGAAGAGTGGCACCAAAGCAATGAATGAGAGTATACAGGTGCATCTCAATAAATTATTTTGTTAAATGTGAGCCAAAATCATCACAATTAAAAGAACCAAAGACTTAAACTACTTCAGTCTGTGTGCACTGAATTTATTTAATACACGAGTTTCACAATTTGAGTTGAATTACTGAAATAAATGAACTTTTCCACGACATTCTAATTTATTGAGATGCACCTGTAAGTGACACTTAGATGAGATTCACATCAATGGAAAGCCAGTTAAACACAGTATGTACAGAGACTCTTACCACTCTGTATAAAACAGACCTGGGATTCGGTGTCCTATTTTTCTTCCTTTTCCGTTATTCTCTTTCTTCCTTGTTCTAATTTAACTCAGCTAGCAAATTTTACTTATTTATACTATTTAAAAAAAAAAAATTACCTGTCATAATCTTATTTATTTATTGTTTGAATGTCATTTTAAAAGTGTGAATTATGGAAGCTCGTTTCCAACACAGGATAAAAAAATTAAAAAAAACTTTTTTTCTTGCAATTCTGAGAAAAAAGTCAGAATTCTGAGTTTATATATGTCAGTTTTCTCGGAATTGTGAGTATATAGCTCTGAATTGTGATATCAAATGTCGCAATTACCTTTTTTATTTTCCCCTTGTTGGAAACAGGCATTTTGCCATATTTACTAAAACGTTTATCTTCATTACTTCAGTTCCACTTGTACATATTGATCATATTCCTTTGTACAATTTACTTGTGTATGAGTTGTTGGTAAATGAAATGAGATTTTTGTTGTTGTTGCATTTGCTCACAATGCATGTTTTCAACTGTGGTGACATTAAATTGCTTTTCTGGCTGATGAGTTATACAATATGGAAATTAAACAATAAACTGGATATTTAAGTCAATAAAAAACACATTTAGATAAAATAAATAAGTGGGTGAACTGATATGATAAATAATATGACAAATGATAATTTTGCAGCTGTGATTGATTCACTTCAACATAAGAGGATCCACTAGATGGCGTAGCAATTCAAACTCATTGCAATAAAATACTGATCACAGTTCAAAGAAGTAACCTTTGGTCTTATAAAAGATACTGTTCATGTAATTTATCTGTTTATCTATTTTGATAGCAGCAATCTATGCATTTATCTATATAAAATACCACTTCAAGCAGGGCAATTTGTGAAAAACATTTATTTTATAGAGCTGCGCCACATGAAAACCCACTTCTCTTAAGTATTTATGATCCCTAGAAGGGTTAGAAGTGTGAATGTTGAAATATCTGCAATAACGTAGTAGCCTGAGTATACAACTGATAAGAGTTTCGCACTAAATACCGTGTAGCTAGTTATACTCTTGTATGTTTAATAATCCGCAGCTGTGTTTTTTGAGTCAGAGACCACAAGTGGACACTAAGAAATAAAAGCTGGACATGCATGACGACTCCACAGGCTGGTGTCAGTCAAATTCCTGAACGCACTCTTGTGTCATAACCTTTCCCGTCTGACACAACACAACGTCTTAGAAACTGGACATGATGAATGTCTGGCACAGGAAGCGCTGGATGATTATCACTTGGATGTGACTTATCTGATAGATCAAAGGTCAAGACGCACCCAGAATCTCAGGTATGTTGCTAGATGAGGGAACACTTACACGTTCCTGCTCTTAAAGATTTTAATCTTTTATGTGACTTTTTCAGGCCTGTACAGTAAATTACAAAATATTTATTTAATTCCATATATTTGCAGGTTATACAGTTTTATGCAAAAGTTTGGGCACCCCTGATAATTATCATAATTTCAATTTATAATCTGCTAGGCTTTCGAAGCTGCAACTTCATTTGGATATAATTTATACCTTATGGATACATTAACATTTAAATTATGAAATAAAATTTATTGAATGAACAGAAACAATGCAATGTGAATCACAACAAAACCAGACAGGTGCAAAAATTTGGGCACCCCAATGGAATAATCACATCAGTATTTAGTAGAGCCACCTTTTGCTGAAATAACAGCCTGTGGACGCTTCTTATAGCCACTGATAAATCCCTGAATTCTGACTGCAGGTATTCTGACTATTCTTCCTTGCAAAATGTCTGCCGGTTTGGTGGCTGCCGAGTGTGGACAGCCTGCTTCAAGTCAATCCATAGATGCTAAGAATCTGCTGATACTGGGTGGAATCCATGCAACTCTCAACTCTGATAAGGTTTCTAGTACCTGTGCCTACCACACAGCCCCATACCATGATGGACCCTACACCAAATTTTACAGTGGGGAGCAGGTTCTTCTTTTCCGCCATGTAAAGCGCCTTTGGTGGTGACCAGATAACTGGAATAACAGCACATTATTCCAAAATAATTCAGGCTTGTCCAGATGAGACTTTGCATACCTCAAACGACTCTGCTTGTTGGCAGTACCCAGAAAAGGCTTCTGCGTCACCCTTCCATTGAGCTGTTCCTTGTGCAAAGTGCGCTGGATTGTGGAATGATGTACAATGACATTATCAGCGGCGAGATGTTGTTGGAACTCTTTGGAGGTGGTCTGTGGTTTGTCTGTGACCATTCTAACCATTCTTCGCTGTTGCCTTTCAGATATTTTTTTCAGCCTACCACATCTTTCCTTCACAAGGACTGTTCCGGTGGCCTTTTGTATCCTTCTCCTAATTCATATTGACAAATTATCCTAGTTTTTAGTTCATTAGGGAGTTCTTTTGAGGTTCCCATGTTGCTACTTTCCAGTAGAGAATAAAGGAGAAGCACAACTAGCAATTAGCTACCTTAAATATCATTTCCCATGATGGAAATGATGTTTGCACCTTAGTTTGCAGTGTTAAGGTTCACTGAGCCAATCAAATCAATACTGTGTTGTAATTAATCAGCAATAAGAGACTACAAGTATTAAAATCAACACAATTGAAATGGTGCCCAAACTTTTGCACAGCCTATTTTTCACATTTGGCTTTATTTCATACAACACAGTACTGCTACACTAAAAATTTCTGTCTGAAAAACATCACATTATGCAGCTTTCTCTAGAAACTGAATGGCATATCACTATAATATTTTCTTATAAAGAAAGAGCTAATGATTATGCAGCCTCAGAGGGGTGCCCAAACTTTTGCATAAAACTAATATATATATATTAGTTCTTATCCAAAACAAGATGTGATATGAGTGTGATACATAGGCTACATACATACACTACCAGTCAACATTTTTGAACAGTAAGAAAGATCCAATAGAAAGATCCAAAGATCAGCATTTATCTGAAAATAAAAAGCTTTTGCAACATTATACACATGTAACATATACCATTCAAAAGCTTGGAGTCAGTATAATTTTTCATTTATTTATTTATTTTGGGAAATGATAGAAATTAATACTTTTATTTAGCAAGGATGCTTTAAATTGATCAAGTGACAATAAAGAAATTTATAATGTTACAAAAAATTATATTTCAGATAAAGGCTGTTCTTCTGATCTGTCTATTCATCAAAGAAACCTGAAAAAAATTCTACTCAGCTGTTTTCAACATAATAATAATAATAATAAATGTTTTTTGAGCAGCAAATCAGAATATTTGAATGATTTCTGAAGGATAATGTGACTGGAGTAATGATGCTAAAAATTCAGCTTTGAAATCACAGGAATAAATTACATTTTAAAATATATTCAAACAGAAAATATTCAAACAAAATATTTCACAGTATCACTGCTCTTGCTGTATTTTGGATCAAATAAATGCAGGCTTGGTGAGCAGAAGAGAATTCTAAAAAAAAAAAAAACATTAAAAATATTACTGTTCAAAAACTTTTTACTGGTATAGTGTATATATAAATATATATAGGCCTATATATATCGAAGTGGTGGTGGGCCGCCTGGACCAAAAAAATGCCAGGGCCGATTTTTTGTCTCAGTCCAGCCCTGGTTATGAATTACTCAGAGAATAAATAGTGCCATAATTATACTGGACGTACCTGTTCTTTCGATGACACAACGTGGACTCCAAGAGAGCATCGGTCAAACTTGAGAGTGAAGACGATCTCATGCGTGCGCGCCGTCGTCAAAGAGCCCTGCGTGCGCGCTCCCCAGCGGCCCCCCTGTATTTCAACATTGTAGTCAAGTTGTTGCCCCACCGACCGCCCACAACCATCTCTCCCGAGAGCGTGTTCAGACCATGGTGGAGCTGCTGGTGAACGCAGCGCCAGGGTAAGCGCCAACCAGAACCGGCTCTCACCGCCGTTCCCTTCAACGGGGAGGAGAACGGAAGAGCACGCGACGCGACACAGCTGCGGCGCGTTCGCCTGCCCATGAAAAGAGCGCACTTGAACGGAGTTTTGGAGGAACGCTAAACGGACAAAGTGGGGATTAAAGAGGCGGATAACGCTGGAGCGTTGGCGTGGGATTTTAAGCAAAGGAGAGTGAGAGCTCTAACTTCCTCTGAACTCCACGAGTGTTGAACTGCCAGCACGATCAAACGACTTGAGGCCTGGGGGAGGAAAAAAAACTTTCGTCTTCATTTTGAACACTTTGCATTGAAATGATTTGAGATTGTTACCTCCGCGTGAGTGGTTAAAAGGGATTACACACAAACAAGGATATACTAGTCAGCACACTTCTATATGACTTGTCGGAGTGCCTCGATGTCATCAGTATTTTCTTCTTGGAAGTTGAAGTCTTCAGTATTATTGGTCTTCTGGAGTCGGCAGACACGCTCGCGAACGGCTGGTGTCATCTGAAGTGGTCACGAGGTCAGCGTGAGCTGCAGGGCTTTACAGCGCTTAGAGAGCTGGAGGACTCGCGCTTGAGTCCGGAGCTGGTGTTCAGGAAAGGACGGGGCTCCTCCATGGGAACAGGCCGTCTTCTGACCCTCGGCGGGGCAGGCAGGAACAGGATCTGACTTGAGTTTTGACGGAAAGACACGGGCAGCTTTTACGTCTTACCGTCTCAGGCGTTTATTTTCCCTCAGTTTACAGGAAATCATCTTCGTGATGCCAGCCCCTAAGGGAATAAATACATC